GAGAGTCCTGTGTTTGAGCCGCCCAGAGTCACCCATTGGGGGAGATGGGCGGCATACAAATGTGAATGAATGAATGAATGAATGAATGAATGAATGAATGAATGAACCCACACACACACTATATACACAGAGAAAGACAGTTTTGTTTTCTCTTAAATCTAGTCTACAGGGTAAATTAAAAATGTCTTTGTAATTTGTGCAAACCCCCCCTCAACATAGATGGTAGGAAAGTGAGTTTTGCAATTTAAATATCATGCACTTGAAGGTTATTTGAACCAGGTGGGCTTCCAACTGTATTGGAGCATGGAGCAAAATTTGTTTATATATTCTGCCCTTTTTTTATTCTTATCCCTCTTCTTCCCTGTATTGAATTTAGATTATAATCTTTCTTTGCAAAGACCTAGGGGTGCGGTTAGCTATTAAACCTTTGTACTTTCCTGAATAAACTATCACATACAGAGGTAATAGATTATTATAGGGCTGGTAATTTTTGTAAGTCTGTCCATTGGGAAGTACAAATTATATAGTTTTTAATTTTTATACAACAGTGTGCTTTCTTTCCAATTTTGTTTGCAAAATTATATATAGAGATACATACTTATATAAAATAATTAGATATACAATATCTAAATATTAGCAATATTTATCTCCTTGTTATTCTGTAAAGTTCTGAATATTTGTTAATTTGTTTATAGTGGTTGATCTATCAGAAAAGAAAGCAGAACCTGGTGCTGGCACTGGTGGACCTACGGCAAAACTTTCTTCATTTCAGTATGATCAACCTATGCCATCTACTTCCTCACTGCCGCCACCACCACCACCTCCTCATTCTGTTCCAACTGCAGCTCCTAGTTCTACTCCTAAAGATGATCTGGTAAGTACTCATTTAACACAACCTTTATCAGTAGCAGATTTCAATTCCATTGAACAAATCTTAAAGCAGTTCAATAAATGAGGATAAATTATTAAATCAACATTACAAGGATATTGGGTCTGAAAAATCAAGGTAATATATTGATGCTAATATTTAGGATTAGGAAATGATGGTATGTACTGTGGAGTCCTTAGGGTTCTCTGAGCTTGGTTGTTTTCTTGCAAATGTTTCATTACCTGGCTAATATATTGATGCTAATATTTAGGATTAGGAAATGATGGTATGTACTGTGGAGTCCTTAGGGTTCTCTGAGCTTGGTTGTTTTCTTGCAAATGTTTCATTACCTGGCTAGGTAGCATCTTCAGTGCTAGAATGGAATGGGGTTTGCTCTCTGTTTACATATATACTGTGGCATGCCCTGCCAGTGTTGTGGGGGTGTGGGTTTTGTTTTGTTTTATTTTTTCCTCTGGTAGTTCCTTGATTAAGGTATTGTTTAC